GGCTGCCACGCTGAGCCGACAATCAGCTGATCAGCTGTTTGTCCACTCAGCGCACTAGTCTGGACGCTTCCATGCCGATCTGAAAGCCCTTTATCGACCTCCCCGTTATGCCTTGTAGGATGAGGTTTACCGGGGAGGTCGATAAAGGGCTTTCATGTCGGCAGGGAAGCATCCAGACTAGTGCGCTGAGCCGACAAACAGCTGAACAGCTGTTTGTCGGCTCAGCATGGCAGCCATGAATATTTAAATGAAGCTGCGATTATTTAAATCGCGGCTTCATTTCCCTTTGCCAAACAAACAAATCTACATGTCTCCGTCGACGGAGCCATGTAGTTTAGACGTACCCTTCCAGTGCCAAGATATCCTTTTTGAGATGAGGTGACCACATCTTAATTCTGTTGAGCAGTTAAATATCATCTGCAAATTTTGCAACCTCACTGCTTACCCCTTTCTCCAGATCATTTATAAAAATATTGAATACACCTGGTTCTAGTAAGGACCCTTGGAGGAAACCACGAGTCACCTCTCTGCTTTCTGAAAGCTGACCATACATTCCAACCCTTTGTTTCCTGTCTTTTACCCTGTTATCAATCCACAACAGGACGTTCCCTCTTATTCCATCACTTACTTAAGAGCCTTTGGCAAGGGAACTTGTCAAAGTCTTCCTGGAAATCTAATATACTATATCCATTGGATTACCCTTGTCTATATGCTTTTTGACCATCTCTGTTGGAGTCACATTAGCTATCTTCTGGTCATTAGGCATAAAAGCTAATTTAACTGATAGTTTACAAACCACAGTTAATAATTATGCAATTTCACATTTAAGTTCTTTCAGAACTCTTGGTTGAATGCCATCTAATCACGGTGACTTGTTACCATTAAGTTTATTAATTTGTGCCAAATCTTCCTCTACAGAAACCTCAAATACGGACAATTCCTCAGATTTCTCACCTAAAAAGAATGGCTCAGGTTTAGGAATCTTCCTAACATCCTCAGTCATGTAAACTGAAGAAAGTCCAGTAAATGAAACAAACAATTTAAAATTACCAGATTGGTCTATACATCAAGTATACAACAAAAGTTTTATTTACACATCTAATACAGATTTGAGTTTTTTTCCCCAATTGATAAATTCCTGGAAGAGCTTGCTCACATTAGCAATAAAGTGAAAAGAAAAACAAATTCTGTCCTATTCAGGAGTTCTGAGGTTACTGTACACAAAAATCTGCTAAAGTAGTGCAAACATTCATTCCTTGGTGTAAAATGTTCAGAACAGAATTTGTGTTGTCTCATATCTGGTTTTAGAGCAAAAAGGTTTTTTCCAAAGTTCCACTTGTGTCTTGCTCTATAGTTCTATACCTGTTTTTATCAGGTTCATCAGGGAAAACAATCTATCTTCAGAAGCCTTTTAAATCTCCACTTGAAAGGGAATCCTCTGAACTGTCATTCATGCTAAAATTCGACACTCTACGTGTGGGTCTCAACAAAGACCTCAGTTATCTTACCCATTACAAAGATAGCTTCCCCAATTATCACCTCTAATACCATTAGCTCACAGACATTTATCCCCCCCGCATCCCTCTTCTGTTCTGAAATTTGATTTGTCCTTTTCATATGTGTTCTCTTTTTTTTAATTGTATCCTTTGGTATATATGGTTGTGACTATTTTCTTCCACTATTTGATCTGAGGAAGTGGGTCTGGCCCACGAAAGCTCATCATCTAATAAACCATCTTGTTAGTCTTTAAAGTGCTACATAGTCCTGTATTTTGTTTCAGCTATACCAGACTAACATGGCTACATTTCTATCACTATCTTCTTCAGTGATGCTTCAGTATTGCCATCAACAAGGGTGTGTCTAAATTACATGGCTCCATCGACAGAGCCATGTAGATTAGGCTGATCGGCAGAGGGAAATGAAGCCGTGATTTAAATAATCGTGGCTTCATTTAAATTTAAATGGCTGCCCCACTCTGCTGATCAGCTGTTTGTTGGCAGATCGGGGCAGTCTAGACACTCCCCTGTCGACATGAAAGCCCTTTGTTGACCTCCCTGGTGTCACGTTACTGGATTTTGAGGGGAGCAGCCAGAACACTGCTGCACCCATGGGGGGGGTGTTGGCCCAAAAAAGGTATAAAAGGGGGTCATGTGAGGTTGTCAGCCAACGGTCAGGGCAGTGTGTGTGTGTGTTTCTGAGAAAAGGTTTAACGTCCGTGTCTTTACTGCTAGGACCGGGGTCCCATCACAGAGGGTAGCCAGCAGGCCAACAGATGCCCCTTTATAGGAAGAGCTTATTACACCTCAGATTTTAGCTGCTAGAATGCAAGATTCCTTCGCAGCAGGCAGTCTGGGAAAGACTGAGAAGTGCCCCAACGGACCTGTCACCTGGGAGTGACACAGATCCAAACGCCCAAGCTCTTCCTATACCTGTCCTTTATGACTGGCTGAAGTTCTTTTAAATTGTGCTTGGTTCTGTTACAGCAACTGAAGGAGTCAGGTTAAAAGCTTAAAAAGTTAGGGTATGTCTACACTACCACCCTAGTTCGAACTAGGGTGGCAATGTAGGCAACCGGAGTTGAAATGAAGCCCGGGATTTGAATTTCCCGGGCTTCATTTCAACTCCGGTTGCCTACATTGCCACCCTAGTTCGAACTAGGGTGGTAGTGTAGACATACCCTAACTTTTTAAGCTTTTAACCTGACTCCTTCAGTTGCTGTAACAGAACCAAGCACAATTTAAAATTAACTGCTAGCAAATATAGATCTTAAAAATGGTTACAAAGAAAATAAAGATAGAAAATAGAAATAATGGTACCAAGTGACAGCTTAATCTTTAAAGAGCTCTAAGTCTATGTGTACACTTAAGACAAAGGACACATCCAGGTATAATTTTTACCCCCTTCTGTGCCTCTCGACTCCAGCGTATCAGGCCAGGGCCAGTCCTTCAATTCCTAGGAAAGACAAATACGAGGTGGGCGTCCCCGTGGAACCTCGGGAGGCCAATCACCTAACCCAACCATCAGATAGATCCATGGTCACCAACCAGTAGATCTCAGGGGCTCCAAGAGTTGCTCTTGAGCCCCCTCTGAACTGCGCACCTGTGCAGTACATTTACATTACATTTCCTCATGTAATGTAGGCAGGGCTTCAAGGAAGGGGCGGGACAGTAGATCTTCTCCTGTTCTGAGACTTAAAAAGTGATCTTGGGTGTAAAAAGGTTGGAGACCACTGAGATAGATGGTAGATTGACACTCAGAGGAAGTGTGCTGCTGGACCTATCTTTATACCCGTAGGGGCCTGTATCCTCTTTCTTATCTAAGATGCCAAATTGTACTGGTCTGTCTTTGTGACGCCAGTTCTTACAAGCAAGTTTCAACTTAATTTACACTTGCAAGAGGGATAACTAAATTGTGAGTACTAGACATTTTTTTTTACTGGGCGAGAGATTCCTCCCCCCGCGGACGGCTGTGTGTTTGTATCAATATGGGTTAAGTCAAGGGCACTCCTTGGCAGCCTCTTGGTCAGCAATTGGCATATCTCTGTTTACAGCCATTCATGGTCACAGAAGCCTGCCATATCCGGGCCTTCTGTTCTGTGTGCCCTGCATGCTCCAGGCAAGCAAAAATGGATGTTACAGGGGGGTTCCTGTCTGGCTACAGAGGTGTTGAATAGTAGCTTACTGTCTGATAATCCTATGTACACTAGTCATGTGATTGTATAATGCTTGTGTGTGAAATTATAAGCATGTACTTGTATGGATACTGAATATTGCTCTGCATGTAGGTGAGCATTGGGCAGAGCGCGGCCTATGGACATGCTAATTAGCGAGGCCCTGTGGGACAATGGCACTCAATGGGCCAAGGACACACCTAAAGAATGAGTGGTGACTCATAGCTAAGGGCTACCAGCAGGGAACACAGGAATAAGCCGTGGGCCAGGTGACCTGCTGTAGCCAAGAAGAGACCAGGAAGGAGGAATAAATAGGCCATGTGGTGGACTCCATTTTGGTCTTCAGCTCAGCACTTCATCCCAGAGGCAGAAATGCAGGGATCGAAGAGCCAGAAAGAACTGTGGACCCATCCTGATCCTAGGATGCGCAACAAGGACTTTTGAGCCAGCAGCTGCAACATCTCTGCTAGAGCCTGCATCGAGGACTGGGAGATTCGGTGCATGTAATGTACTATCCTTTAACAACCTTACTCTCATGCTTTTCTTTATTGTAATAATAAACCTTTAGATGACAGATGCTAAAGGATTGGCTCAGCGTGATTTGTGGATAAGGTCCAGAGGGTAAATTGACCAGGGATCTGTGACTGGTTTCTTGGAACCGGACAGAACTTGTTCGGGGTAGGTGGGATTGGGTGCTAGGACCCCCTACCTGTGTATGAGGCCCAGGGCCATCTGGGGCACGGATATTGCTGGGGTGTCAGAGGGGTTTTTCTCGTGAGGCTTCAGGCAGGCTGCTGAAGCGCTCTGTGGGACTGGTTTGTGGCCTGGTTGGGGAGGTCACCAGTCTGGGGGCTGTAAGGAGCCCTGAATTTGAGCAATTCGCCCAAAGTGGACGCCCTCAGCTGTGCCCAGACACGGCCCGGTCTGTCACACCTGGTAAACCTCACCCTACAAGGCATAACGGGGAGGTCGACAAAGGGCTTTCATGTCGACAGGGGAGCGTCGAGACTGCTCCGACTTATAAGTCTCTGGTGTACATCCTATGTCAGGATGGGTCCACAGTTCTTTCCGGCTTGTTATCCCTGCAAGGCTGCATCTGAAATCAGGAGCTAAACTGAAGACCAGATGGAGGATGCTACATTGCACTTATATATTTCTGCTGGCATCCTCCTAGCCAGAGCAGGTCACATGGTCAAGCGACCTATCTCTGGTTCACATGTTGGCAGCCATTATGCAGAGCTCAACCAAAGTGGAACAGAGCAATCTTAGTCAATGAGGAGGTAACTGTTCCCCTCTTGGGACACCGTTTAAATTCAGAGGATCAATGTGATCACAACCTGCAGATGTTTTTCCTCATTTTGTCACGAAGCTCTTTGGTTTTGATTCCATATACTATTGGGTTGAGCATTGTGGGGACAAGGACACAGACATTGGCCAAGAAGATTTGAACGTGAGGAGCGATGCTCTCTCCAAACCGATTTGTCATGATGGCAAAAAGGTAGGGAGTATAAGACGTCATCATCACACCGATGTGGGCAGTGCAGGTGTTGAGGGCTTTCTGGTGGGCTTTCTGGGAGGAGATTCTAAGAACGGCTCTGATGATCAGAGAGTAGGAAAGAGCAATGAGCATCAGGTCTGACCCAACAAGTGTAAGTGTCATCACCAAGCCATAGAGCCTGTAGAATGTGAGGTCCCCACATAAAATCTTTGCCACCGGAATAGTCTGACAGCTAATATGAGGGATGATGCGGTTGCCGCAGAACGGCAGTTGACTCAGCATGAGGGGCATGGGCAGCACATAAATAATCCCTCTCATTAAACTGACCAGCCCTAGTGTAGCTACCCGTGTGTTGGTGAGGATGGTGGTGTATCTGAGAGGGTTACATATGGCAACATAGCGATCAAAGCCCATTACCACCAGGATGGCTGATTGCGTTGCAAAAGATGCACTAAGGAAGGTAATTTGGGTCAGACAGCCACTCACTGTGATAACTTTCAAATTAAACCAAAATATACCTAGGGCCTTTGGCACAATGCAGGTAGACATGCCGATGTCTGTGAGTGCCAGCATGCAGAGCAGCAGGTACATTGGCTGGAGTAGGGTGTGCTCTTTGCCTACCACAAACAGAACAGAGAAATTTCCCAACAGGCAGAAAATGTAGCAAATAGCATAAGGGATGGAAATCCAGACATGAGCATCTTCCAGGCCAGGGATACCACTTAGGATGAATGTTGACGTGTCAGAGGGTGTGAGGTTGAATGATGCCATGACGTAGTGGATGAAACAACAGGGTTGAGGAATGCACAGGGCCCCTGTGAAAACACAGAAGCACAGTAAGCACAGATTACAGATAATAACCAATATCACAGGAAACATGGTAGTTATTGCCAGTTTAGAAAAGTGAGTACTGATGTGGCCACTTTTACAGAAGGCAACAGATTTAGACCAAAGTCAAATCCAGAATAGTCCTTAGAAGGTGTTAAATGTACCAGGTTATTTGGCAGCATGATAGCAGATCAACTTCAGTATTGAGAGTTGCAACATGTCTGCACATTGGAGGGAAAAGCTTGAACTCCTCAAACATCAAACAAGGTTCTAATTTAATTATATGAACTCAGGATAGGGACCTGGGTACCTTTCACACAGAGCTCTGGGAAACTCTGCTGACAATGCAAGCATGGGCAGAATCTGAGTAAAACATTGGCACCCTTAAACAAAAGGTCAGTAAGGAGAGAGTTTATTCACTTTATAACAAATTGTACTGTTAATAGTTTTATAGTTATTAGCAGTCTAGGCTAGTGGCAACCTTTCCTGGTGGCACTAGGTTATTTAGAGGAAATTCAAATCCAGAGAAGACATTAGAGTAGCTAACTAAGGCAGATGAATCATAGACTCATAGGCTACGTCTACATTGGCATCCCTTTCCGGAAAAGGGATGCTAATGAGACGGGTCGCAATTGCAAATCCGCGGGGGATTTAAATATCCCCCGCGGCATTTGCATTTACATGGCTGCCGCTTTTTTCCGGCTTGGGGATAAGCCGGAGAAAAGTGCCAGTCTAGACGTGATTCTCCGGAAAATAAGCCCTTTTCCGGAGGATCTCTTATTCCTACTTGAAAGTAGGAATAAGAGATCCTCTACTTGAATAATTCCTACTTGAATAAGCCTTGAAAGTAGGAATAAGAGATCCTCCGGAAAAGGGCTTATTTTCCGGAGAATCACGTCTAGACTGGCGCTTTTCTCTGGCTTATCCCCA